GACTGAATCCTTCACGACAATGGGAGATACCCAAGAGATGCATCGAAGACAAACTTTCTTCTACTGTCTGTATACACACATACACATCACGAATTTTTTGGAGAACGCCTTCCATACTTTGGAAAAGAGATTGGCCATTGATCGTGTCCGACCATTAAATTGACATATCCATGAAACGGTGTCACGAGCACACGATGATATCCTTTGAATACGGATTTATTTAACGTAGAAGCAGAAGAGAAATCAGGAGGTATACATATATATATATATCTGGTGGCTGGTGGAAGAATCGTTTCCCCTCATTCAATGGAAAATATACCAGCCGGCCTTTTGTCGAGCACAATGTCGAGGGGGGAGGGGCCTTACGATCGTTCAATATTTTCCGTCAACAAACTGCACGCGTTCATCTCGTTATAAAGTCTGTTTGATCGGCAAACATTGCAGCGTCGATGCATGCGGCCTGCCTGCATCGCGTGGCCGGTCCCGCCACCGGGGGGAGGAGGAGAGGCAGGAAACCGTTTCAACCCCTCTGTAGCACTTGATTGCGGAATCGGTTCTGCTAAAACGAATAATCTTACAATTTCACGCCATCCAGCGGACATCCAGCCTCTGCCAATCCCGTAAACCTTGATCACTGATTTGATTTCGCGTTGGGAGGAAAAAAAAAAAAACTCGATGCGCTCCTTTTCTCAGTGTTCTCGACTTACGTACGTTTGCGTAAATATTCGAATATTTTGACGATCAGTTTTCTGGCGATATCATTAATTCTGTTCGCAGGATAATATCTATAAAGTTAAGAGAGATATAAGGATAGTATTAGAGATGAAAGAAAAAAATAAAAGGGTATGGAAATAATAAAATAATAAAAATTGTGTAATAAAAATTGGAATTAATCCTTTAACAACGTTCGACGAACAATCTACCCTTCCCTATCTTATTAAGCATTTTTCCACGAAATTTATTCATGAAATTTAGATTTATATAAAACAACTTTCCAAACACATCGTCTCGAAGAGGAAGTTGTCGTCCGCGAAGATAATGGGTCCTCCTCCTAGTCGAATGATCTCGAACAGCCCTCAGACACGTCACCAATCTCAACGTTTTGCATCTGTGCCCAATATTCGAGCGTGAAAGGGTCGTCGCCAGCCCGAGTCGTCTGAGATCGGGACGACAGCTCACCTACGCGATGACAAACGTTGCCATCTAAACAAAGGGTCTCGGGATATATACGCGGCGCAGACACGCAATTTCCGTGGCATGTAAATCGCGTGAAATGAATTTCTGCCAATCACGCACGTGCGTCAACGCCGCGATTTGGGTAACCCGACTGTTTGCCAGGCTATCGGTCACCAAAAAAAAAAAAAAAAAAAGGAAAAAAAAAGGAGAGAAAAAAAAATGCAAGCTCTCTCCAACGTCGAAATTCGATAAAACACGTATCAGACGTAAATAATCGGAGAGCTAGGGAAAATAATATTTTAACGAAGTTCCTAGTGATACCTAGATCGTAGAGAATAAGTTTGAAGTAAATTAATACACGTGTTATTCTCGAAGCAACGTTCGAGAATTTTGACACGCGCGTCTTGAATGAAGAATTAAAGGCAAAAATTTCAATGAAAATATTCTTCCAATTCAAACGCAATCAAACATCGATGTCATTTTTTATATATATCGTCGAGTTTTCTGATGCGCAAGAAGGATGGTAACGTAGGATTATCAAGACTCTGTTTTTTCGCGCGTTCATCCGAGCTGTCGATTCGGAGGAGGTCGCAGGATTCGCACATGCCTGGCTCGCCATCGCCCTCTTCCATCGATGCTTCCATGCTCCTGCTTGATTGATGTTCACCGTCGTTTCACAGACACGACTACATAAATCAAAAGGCGCGAAGAACCCTTTTCTTGTCAAGGCTCATCTCCCTTTGCCTCCTTCCCCTTCTTCCTCTTTTTCTTCTTCTTTTTTCCTCGGTAAGGTGACGTGGATACGCGTTATCGAATCGATGGATGACAGACGAGAACGTATTAAATACCGAACAGGACGAGCATTCGATTGTCGTCTTCGATGAGAAGGGTGAAAGCGGACGAACGAGCACGTGTACACCATCTTTCTCGATCGACGAGACGCGCCTTTCTTTCCATTCCTCCCTCCCCCATTATGCATCCCCCTTGTTCTCCGCGTATTATTCGGTTCAGAGAGGGTGCAAGGCGTGCCTGCTTCTGACAGTTTCGTCGTGGAGGCTGTAATTTCTGTACACACGCGGGCCTGGAAATGTTTCGTTTCCCGATTAGGATTTTGGATTCTCTGGATCGTTTCGACAGTTCTACGTTGAATGTACGAAGATCTTTTCCATTCGAAAAATTGGAGGCTACTTGAAAAGAGACGGACGAGTGTTGATTAATTTTTTTTTTAAAGGAGAATAACTCATTGATATATTTTATTCTTTAGAAATTGACGTATGTGATAACGATTAATCATGGACGTTTGTAATAAACGTGGACGCTACAAGTGACGCAGCTGTTAATAATATTGTTCCTCGTTGTACTCGAGGGTCGTGGACGTANCAAAAGGGAAGATTCATTCGTCTCTCGAGCAAGCGACTCTTACAATTTCT